CGAGGGCCGCCGCCGCCGCGCCTGACACCGAGCGGACCGGGGAAGGAGGACGCGCGGCGAAGGAAGCCTGCCTTTCCAGCCGTCAGCCGCCGGCGCCGTGACCCCCGCGCCGCGCCCCGCGCCGCCTCCCGAACTCGGGCCCCTCGGTGCCAACCTCACGTCGGGGAAGGAAAAAGAGAGGGAGAACGGAAGAGAAAATCCAGCTGCGGGGACGCGGGTGCACTCACACCACCGCTACCGCCGCCATCTTCCTGCCTGGCCCACTATTTACCCTCCCCTCCCCTCGCGGCTCCCCTCCCCTTCGTCCTCCCCTTCCACCCCTACACTCCGCCCAGTCCAGGCCCCCGCCCGGCGTCTGACGCCACACGCCCAAGGCCAGGGATCCCCCTCCCGCACCTACCTCCAGCCCTCGCGGGGGACGACGGGTAGGAAGTAGGCGGAGCGGACTCGAGAGAGGCTGGGATAGGTTCGCTGCTGAGCGGCATTCTGGGAAGGACGCGCGGCCTCCTGGGAGTTGTAGTCGCAGTCCCGGGTAACTGGTGAGTGTCCGGCTCTGGAAAGTCTGGTAGTCTGGCGGTAGGTGGGCTTCATTTGACAGTTGCGTGTCGGTCCCCTACGCCTTGCTTTTGTTTCTGCCTAGTGTATTTATGACGAACGCTGCTGGCTTGCGGGCCAGGGCAGGAGATAAGTCTGCTGTGAGGATGTCAGGATTGCATTGCATGGCTGCTTTCCGGAACATCCTGGGGCTTGCCTGGGCAAAGCTGTGCCGCCTCAGCTACAGCCTGGGGACACGGGTATGACCTATCTAGTGACAAAGGGATTTCATTAGCCAGCAGTGTAAATCTCGATGGTCTTCATATCTTGCTCTTTAAAAGCTAAACTTCATCCTTGACGTTTCCCGCCTTTGAAGAATTCCTTCAGTCGCTTCTCACAAACATTTTGCCTTGATAGGGTTCTAGAGTTTAGTTTTTAGAAAGTAATTTTGGTGTTATCAGAACAAATGACATTACAAGAGCTTTAAATTACAATGAGAATGTCAGGCAGTAGCCTAAGCTACCTCTTGGCTATAAATGAGTATCTTCTTGAGACCCAGGTTAACCTTTCCTACCTACTTAGCTGCCTACCCTGAAAAGTAGGAATTGTTACAATAGAACCTTTTTTTTTTTTTTTTTAATGTCTTTTTGAGACAGGGTCTCGTTACGCATTTCAGGCTGGTCTTGAACTCACTTTGTACCCCAGGCTGGCCTCAAACTCGCAACAATCCTCTTGCCTCAGCCTCCTGAGTGCGGGATTACAGGCGTGTGCCACCACGCCCGGCAGAACCTTTCTAATATACTAAAGACAAAAGTGCAATAGTTTTATTGAATAATAAAGGAGTAGGCAATAGAAAGAATGATGCAATTGATGGAAAAAGCAGTTATCTATTTGTGTACACTGTAAAGAGAACTGACTGTGAGACCTTTGATTTTATAGCTTCTTTCCTCGAACTGCTTTTATATCTTGTCGATTTTCTTATCATTGCTAACAGTAAAATTCCTTATTAAACCTTAGAAAAAATACCTGCTTGCTACCAGGCTGGAAAAATCAGGATATTTTAAAGTTGAGGGGAAAGGCACAGTGGCAGGAAATAACTGGTAACAATTGAAGGAGGCCAACTGTCCTGGGATCTTCGGGAAAAACAGGTGGGGAAGTGTCTCTAAGTACCTGTGATATCTTTCATTCTCCTAGATTGACACTCAGTAGATATTAAATCTGCCAAAGGTCAGTCACAAATCATTTTCCTATTGTGAAATCATGATAATGCTCAATTGAAAGCTAGGCAAATGAACAAAGCCTTGAGAGATAAAACTTTTGAAAATACTTTGTCAGCATGTTAAAACATAATCTCAAGGTCGTCATTCAAAAAGAAAAAACCCTCAGCACATTTTTCCTTTTCATTGAATTACGGAAAGTATGTCTTCAAAATGTTGAATTAAGCTTTGTGTTGTCTTACCTTGTCAGGTTAGAGTTCCTGTTTCTGATTCTTTTAAGCACTAGGTTTTAAAATTATTATGTGAATTATTGAGAAATTTACTTCATAATGCAATTTAGAATCGCAGGAGTATAGTATACTTTTATTTTTAAATTGAACTTTCTATTATATTTGATGTCTTTATAGGTTGTGTGTGATTGTAACCACCAGTACTTAGGTTACTAAGGTGCCCACTTACTGAGTGGGAAATTGCTTCATTATTTAGTACTAATGTGAGAGAGAATGCCTTTTTTTAAGGAAAAAAAAAAAAAAAGGTTCTCAGCCAGGTGTGGTGGCACACGTCTGTAATCCCAGCAGTTAGAATGGTAAGGCACAAATTAAAACAACATTGAGATTTCATCTCACCCCAGTAAGAATGGCTAGCATTAAGAAATCAACCAATAACAAATGCTGGCAAGGCTGTGGAGAAATAGCAGCTCTTCTCCACTGCTGGTGGGAATGCAGACTGGTGAAACCACTGTGGAAATCAGTTTGGAGATTCCTCAGCAAACTAGGTCTAGAGGTCCCATTCGACCAAGCTATTCCCCTGCTGGGTATTTTCCCAGAAGATCTGAAAACATCATATCACAGTGATATATGTGCACCTATGTTCATAGCAGCGCAATTTGTAATTGCTAAATTGTGGAAGCGACCCAAATGTCCACCCACTAAGGATTGGATAAAAAAATTGTGGTACTTCTATATAATGGACTATTACTCAGCTATAAAAAAAGATAAACTCGAGGCTTTTATAGGTAAATGGTCACAACTAGAGACCATACTCATAAGTGAAATAAATCAGACCTGCATGCATAAGCATTGTATTGTCTCACTAGTGTAAGACCTGAAAGAGTGAATAACAGCTAGAAGATATGATAGACATTGTGAAACCAAAGGAAACTGCTCAAAAATAAAGGACAACTGGGGTGTGGGAAAAGAGAAGGGAAAGAAGGAGAAATTATGTATGTATGTATATATAGGATAGCTAACATAGTTGTACTACTGTTTTCTATTGCTGTACAGAAAGGAACAGTTAATGATTACTTCTTTGATCAATCTTGTATGTCTCTATTTGTTTTCCTGAGAAACCACTTTGAAGATATCGATAAGTAATACAACAACCATCGTTAATTTCCTACAACTTTGTAACTCTGTTTTGTTTGTATTGTTCTTATGCTATTTTGTAAATGGGTGTCTGTCTGTTAATATGTTTTCCTTCTTTTATTTTTAAAATAAACTGAAAAAAAAAAGAAGAATGGTAAGGCACAATGAGCTGGGCGTGGTGGCGCACGCCTGTAATCCCAACACTCGGGAGGCTGAGACGGGAAGAACATTTCGAGTTCAAGACCAGCCTGGGCTACAAAGTGAGCTCAAGGCCAGCCTGAACTTCAGAGC